AAAAAACAGAATGCCTTTTCTCCAACATGTTTCGTTCTTTACTTTTCATCATGTCTATCATCCATCATCATCATCATCATTCCTACAGTATCCGTCCGGTATAATAATGACTTACATTTTTACAAAGTTGTCCATCATTAGTTCATGTTAATGTTCATGTCGTTAATAATGTGTATATCCAAATAATCAAGATAATAAACCATTTATAAGACAATCAATGAGTTTGTATACTTACAACAATTATTTAACCTTAGCTTTTATTGTACACATCAATCAGTTATATCCGTAGTGGTCATTGTGTAGAAAGAATGAATACATAACAGGCCGCCTCATTGTTAATTTGCAATGAAACTATTCAACACGGCGTCCGCTCTGATGTTTATTGTCACGGGTCCCTCTGGAATTCTGTTGCGACGTAAAGACCAACTCTACTCTTTGGTGATTATGTCGTATTATATATGGTCGGAGCACCTGAGGTGTAACCGAAATTTGGGGTCATCCGTGTTGTGAACTCCTCACACAAGTTATCCGGCTAGATTTGAAGCGTTTTGTATTCACGAGATAAGGTCCTTAAAGGGACTTCCGTGCGCGATAAAGCTGGAATATTGCTATAAACCCATTTTGTTCACTCCATTCGCATTCTTCACAGTCAGTAACTTGTAATATTCAATTGGTTCAGTCACACTCGTTGAAGGCCGTGAAGGTGTTATACATATTCCAACAGAATAATACACACACACACAGAGATCATATATATACATTATATAGATACATGCTGTCCATTATATAATTGATGAAGTGTAATATAGTTATTTATTCCTATATGATGTCGCTATGAACCATTCCGAGGTTGAACATGTACAACGCGGATATTATTTAGTGTCAGTCATGTCGTCTGTCGAGTCAATAATATGCGTAGAGCGCGCAGCGAGTCCCTCATTTGAGTTTTTTAACGAAGATTAGTGCTCCACAATGAGAACTCTTCCACAAGTTCTTCCAACGAGGTTTGAGACGCAGAAACAACTTCAAGACTCTTTTGTAGGAATGGTACAAATACGGTGGAATAATAATATATAATAATAATTATTATGTATAATATAATAATAATAATAACTAGGATTGCCTCCAGGGCAATACTGACGGTCTTCAGACCTCCTCATACACTCCCCGTGGCTACCTTTACTTGTACCGTTTCTTTTGACGTCAGCTGGACCGTCCATTTTAACCCTCGGAGTTACGGGTGTTGAAGTGTATTGAAGTGCTAGAAAGCGTCCAAAACGCAGGCTAAACATGTTTTTGACACGAGAGCGGATCGGTGAAATGCAGCCGGGTCATGTAGCTTTCAAGTAGTTCCCACAGAAGATATAGTTCTCTCTTTAACTGACCGTAGCTCCGCTCTCCTTGGGTATACTGTTTAAACGATTAGTGTTCTGGAATCGCCACCATCCTAGGTATCTGACGCATAAACGTGTATGCATATACTGCACTTGTGAAACAACATAGATTTATGTGTGTATATAGAGTGGATTTGTTAAACACCCATTCAAAAATTTGAAATAAAACTCATTTCTTACTCTGTATTTGCCGTGTTTATTAATGCAAACTTGTTCTCGGCGCTGTACGGGTAGGATAATGCCGATGTAATGTAAAGGCCAATTCAAGGGCAACTATTTCTTTGGGCATTGAATGACGTTTCAGCAAAGATTTGACAGCTCCTTGTCACTGTCAATTACATCTGTCGGTGAAATTCACATCGTCTCCCATATTTGCATGTGGACCACGCTTTGCAGTGGTAGTGTTTTTGCTGGAATAATGCCGATGTGACGTAAAGCCCAACTCAACTCAACCCTTATAGGAAGCATATACTATAAGATACATTACTGGTAAATGTTGCAGACTTTGTTGTGGTCAAAAAGTCAAGCATATTCTTCTCACTGTGAGGCTGGTAAACACACTGCTGGAGAGATCGTATCCTGGCAATTCCAGAACACTAATTCTTTTGAATGTAAACCTAAGAACAGCGGGACTACGGCCTGTAAAGAAGGAACCATTTCTGTGGGCACTGGAAACCAGGACGTCGGCAGTGTTGCTAGATTTTACGACACTTCCTCCAGCTATCTCACAACTGTCACAACTGAAAAAATGCGAAATCCTAATGTCCCTCCCTGTTTGTGGCCTAATTGTGGCGTAACTATTGACTTTTACATAATAATAATGTGAAGCAAAATTGTTCCACATTTCATTGTCTACAGTTTGGTACCTTCAAACATGAAATCCATTTTCGCAGAGCTGTGAACCCTATAAAAATGCGTTTGGCCAAAAATTGACTAACTTCCAAGGGTAATAACTCCGACATTATTCAAGATATCGACATGCATTGAACAACCTAAGTAGTCCGGAGTGTGGGCTTTAAAACGATATATAGAACACTATTGTACTATTTGCCGTTCAGGAGCAGAACACAGGCGAAATCGCGAAGACTGTGTTTGTGTCGTAATGTTGACGTTATTATTGATTTTACATAACCATGATGTGAAGCAGAAATGTTTCCCATTCAATTACCTACAGGTTGGTACTTAGAAAAATGGAATCCATTGATTTTTCGCAGAGTTGAGTCCTTCTTCTTAACCGTATGAAAATGCGGCTTAGAAAATTCACCGACTTCCAAGGGCTATAACTCCCAAACTCTTCAAGATATCAACATGCCTTGAACAAATTAAGGTGTCCAGAGTATAGGTTTTCCAACGGTGTATCGATTGAACTATATGCCGTTCTGGAGAAGAAGATTTTAAAGACAGGCACCGTCAAAACGCGGGAATCGGCAAAAAATTCAGTTTTTTCAAAATTGCGGAAAATTTGACCTGCCGGCCAATATTTGCTATGTATTTAATCGATGGGGAATGATGTTGTCTACATTGAGTGAAAATTTGGTCCATTTATCTCTTATAGTTGTGGAGCTATTGAGGTGTAAAGATTTCAACATTTTGGGTTCTCTGCCCCCTTACCGGAAGCCGGAAGTCGGGATTTTCTCAACATTGTATCAATTGCAGTATACAGGTTATCATCCCTGAAAGTTTCATGAAGATCGACCAAGCGGTTAGGTCAGGGGAGCGGGTACAAAATCTGTACAAATAATAATAAGAATATTCGGATGATAACAGTAGGTCTTCCAGACTTTCGTCTGAAGACCTAATAAACATTGACAATAACTCTTCCATGCTGCGCGGTGGGATGTTGTGTTTTAAGTCACGCATTACATAAAATGTTACTTTTACACTCACTCGGTGAAAACTTCGTAAGGTGAAATATTCCACCCTACCACTTCAGGATAAAACCGAAGAAGCGCCCCTCGCACTTCCTCGTTCCCGAAGTACGCGTCGCGTATTAACGGGTGTTGCAGCCATCCCGAACAACAATTTTCTAGGATGAAAGTGATAAACCAAAGCACTTGGTCGTGTGAATTCATGATGCGTCTGCTGCAAAACAGACAATGTGGCGAAAAAGTCGATGTTCACGGGTATTTAACTCGTATTTTCTCGGGATAGGTAAACGTTATAGAACGTAAAATTAAGAAGTGAAAAGTCCCTTCCAGCTTTGAAGACAATAGAATACGACAACATTCACTTAAAGAGATTTTCTCGAGGCAGAGAGTACGTGACGGACATTTAGTGTTCATTTCACCTTTAAATGGATAAGGATGCGCGAAGCTGAGCGGTTTTGGAAAATCAAAGAGGAATTAGACAATATGCATGGTCAAGAGAGAGAGAGAGAGAGACTCGACTCGATGTCGTGGTCAAGAAAACGATGTTGACCGATTGTGGTCGAGGGAGAACCTTGCGGACAATGGATATGCAACGGGGTGGTGGGGTATGTTTGCTCCTCGCGCGCGCGCGAGTATTACCGGCGAGCCGCTACATCGGGCGCGGGGTATTTATTTACTTACCGGGATGGGATTATTTACTTTGTGGGTGTGGGCGGTCGCGCTCCCGAGAGATCAAAGCTGTTTCGATTTTGCCGAATGTAGATGAATAACGCTTGGACGTTTTCCGGGTATGGGGACACCTACTACTACTGCTGATCATTAACCCTTGATACGCTATCGAGCCCCTACTTCCAGGATGGGCTACTGTCAGCTACTATTATGTTTCTATCATCACTGCTCTTGTATTATATCACCTGAAGTTTATGCTGTCACTCTATTTTGTGCTGCCATAGTGACACTCGTGCATTGATATGTAAACATTTTTTTTTTCATCTTTTATTTCAGTATACCAGGGTTACAGTTGATACAAGGTGGCTATATTCATTGGCAGCTGTTTGTTTTAATAAAGAACAATTTCATTTACAAAGTTGCATTGTTATATTTGATAATATTACCAGTAGTAGTACTAGGAAAGAGGACTTCATGTTTGTGTCGTCAGAACTATACACAAAAACCGAGGCTTTTTAGGCCATAGGGGATGTGACAACAAATTATAATCGCATGGCTGGAATGCTTTTTGATACAGCAGTGCATTTACCTGGTCCTTTTATAGTGCTTCTCCAATACAGCGTGAGAAAGCATTCATAATGCATTGAATGTTGCACATGTAAGATAGCGGTATATCAATATCTATGAAAGGTTAATACCGTTGTGCCATCACCTGATACATCCATAGTACTGTACGAGTACAAAGAGAAAAACAGTCACATTGCAATGAATATTGCACATTTACATTTATCTGTTTTTGTTCCGAAATGGAATCGTTACCTTTTTTTATTAGCGTTCGGAAATCATCCATGATCCATCATGTCACGATAACTTACAATTTCACTTCCTGGTATTTCAGCGCTAAAATAAAGCGCATAGGAATGTCAACACCAGTCTTTAACAAATAAAAACGTCTCTCTGTGCCATAGGCTTCGCTAATTGATTTTGTTGAAACGGTACGAAACTGTGTACAGTGTACTCTATATTTTCTTTTTGTTCTGCACAGATGTAAGTACAGTGTACAACTTACCTGAGCTGGTACAGATGGTTTGAACACAGAGAGGGAAAGAGCAACTTTCACCTGTTGGATAAATGTAATCCTAGTTTTGGTTTGACCCGACTTCCGTTTAATCAGTGTACTGTACGTGCGCTTTATTTACTATCAAACGAAGGACAACTATGTGACTTATGTATCTTTGACTGGCACGGTGTAGATACACACTTCCTGACGTACACAGCTATCCCGCTACTGTGTCTCCCCACGGAGTGAGTCCTCTTACAGTTGTATATATCATTATGGTGTGGTCGTGTCATCAACATCCACATATCTGTCTAGTCTATACCACCACACACTGTACACTAGAAAAATCATCGTTATGTACAGATGTACGTACAGTGTACAACTTACCTGAGCTGGTACAGATGGTTTGAAAACAGAGACGGCGAGAGCAACTTTCACCTGTCGGATACCTGTAATCCTCGTTTCGGTTTGACCCGACTTCCGTTTAATCAATGTATTTTACGTGCGCTTTATTTAATATCAAACGAAGGAGAACTCTGTGATTAACGTATGATAAGGCCAGATTAACACCCAACCCCACCTACCCCCAACCCAATCCTCCCATATACGAAATTCTTCAAAGGCATTTAGAAGTTGGTGTAGTAATACAAGACAAATCTTATGGATAACAACTTCTTGATTTATTTTTCACAACGTTTCTGGGCTAGTTCGTGCCCCTTCTTCGAGTGGATGATGGTAATGGTGAACAGTACAGTATATATACAGATGTACAGGAAGCTAGTAGACCAGCTACCGTCAGCTACCGTCAGTAGAATGATGTTGTTTACGGATGTCATCATCAAAACACTACTGTCTCTGGTATTTAGAATGTGGGATGTACAAGCACATGGAGAAGAACATCCTGTACTCTGTAAAACACCTGAGATGCAGCGCAGGCCTGGTGTCGGTTTCTTTGTAATACCTACTGGATTAAATCTTCTACTAGAATCTAAATATATGTTGAGCAACAATGCTTCAACTGTTAAATAAAGCACTTGTACATGAAGTAAGGGCAAGGGCTGTGCTGCATTTAGACTAATACTGGAATGAATCATCTGGAAAACTAAATCGCAAATTCGTGCGGTAGACTATTTTTTGGTTGTGTCGAACTTCGGATAACTCGCGGTCAACCCAATATAGCTTCAGTGTAGTTTCTTTTCCTTCTTACATTTTATGAACTTACGTCTTAGAAGTCCTCATCTCTATCAAAGGTTAGCTGTGATATTTGTTGTTGTATATTTGTACCTTTCTAAACTCTCAGCTGAACGAGACTGACAAATAAACATCAATTCAAACATTTTCTAATCTATCTCATGATTGTATCGTTTGACTCAGTCGAATTTGGAAAAAACTCAACTATTAGCTGGCATCTTTTTGCTATGTTATTGCTCTATAAAGTGTACTGTAGGTGCAAAATCCCACATGAGATTTGTCTTCATTTCAAGTTGACGGCCCTGTAAATTGTTTATCTTTATAGTAGTAGCTTTTTGTCCATAGACACGACACATTGCGATATATAACTACGTGTGGTATAAATAGATTATCCACCAACTGTATGATACTGGGGCACTATAGTACTGTCGGAAATGCTAGAAAAATGCTTTTTAGCCTTAATATCGTTATAAAGGTGATAAATGTACTATGTTGTCAATATATCAACTCGCCTATTGTCTATCTAATGTTTATTTCAATCGATTTAACATTCCCATGCATTTAAAGGGCAGTTTACAGGAGAGAATTTGGTACCAAAACAGCAACTTAAGATTTTTTCAGAGTTCAACAACAGAAATCTGAAATAGTCTTTACATTTATGCTAATGATACAGGTGGTGTAAAAATATGAATTAGCGTTTTTCCTAAACAAATAAATGTTGAATGTTTATGTTACTTTACTGAAGTATAGTTTTCTTTATTGAAGAAATATTGATATAAATGTTAAGTCTTGATAAATAAGTTTCCCGTCAAGCATGCACATCTTTATCACAGCGTCCACTTTGGCCAACGATTTGCAGTCGATTGTTGCAAAGGTTTATAGTTTTTTCTGCTTAAAAAAGACAGAGATAAAACTTTCATTAGTTTAGAAAGGGTTTATTACAGAACTTGTAGAGCTGTTGGCATGTCTTACCAACAAATTTACAATATTGTAAACGAATCAGACAAGACAGGGACCGTCTCAAATGCAAAACTGGGACGTGAAACCATCCTTGACAACTTTGACAAGGGAGTGCTTAGACGGGCGGTCTACAAACTTTATGAGAAGAAAAATATATATATTCTAAAGAAGCTACATCAGTGACTTTGGCCAATGTTCACAACTAGATTAAACTGACCGAATTACATCCATATTTTTTCAATGAAATATACTGTTGACATGCAAAACATTTATTAAATCAGTCGATAAGATAACACAAGTGATAGGATTCTTTCCAAAGTACAGTTATTCGTATGTTTTATTTCAAAACAAACACACATACACAAATGATCCCTTACATAACTGATACGTATACTGCATACACATATTCAACAATGCTTCAACTGTTAAATAAAGCACTTGTACATGAAGTAAGGGCAAGGGCTGTGCTGCATTTAGACTAATACTGGAATGAATCATCTGGAAAACTAAATCGCAAATTCGTGCGGTAGACTATTTTTGGTTGTGTCGAACTTCGATAACTCGCGGTCAACCCAATATAAGCTTCAGTGTAGTTTCTTTTCCTTCTTACATTTTATGAACTTACGTCTTAGAAGTCCTCATCTCTATCAAAGGTTAGCTGTGATATTTGTTGTTGTATGTTGTACCTTTCTAAACTCTCAGCTGAACGAGACTGACAAATAAACATCAATTCAAACATTTTCTAATCTATCTCATGATTGTATCGTTTGACTCAGTCGAATTTGGAAAACTCCAACTATTAGCTGGCATCTTTTGCTATGTTATTGCTCTATAAAGTGTACTGTAGGTGCAAAATCCCACATGAGATTTGTCTTCATTTCAAGTTGACGGCCCTGTAAATTGTTTATCTTTATAGTAGTAGCTTTTTGTCCATAGACACGACACATTGCGATATATAACTACGTGTGGTATAAATAGATTATCCACCAACTGTATGATACTGGGGCACTATAGTACTGTCGGAAATGCTAGAAAAATGCTTTTTAGCCTTAATATCGTTATAAAGGTGATAAATGTACTATGTTGTCAATATATCAACTCGCCTATTGTCTATCTAATGTTTATTTCAATCGATTTAACATTCCCATGCATTTAAAGGGCAGTTTACAGGAGAGAATTTGGTACCAAAACAGCAACTTAAGATTTTTTCAGAGTTCAACAACAGAAATCTGAAATAGTCTTTACATTTATGCTAATGATACAGGTGGTGTAAAAAAATATGAATTAGCGTTTTCCTAAACAAATAAATGTTGAATGTTTATGTTACTTTACTAAAGTATAGTTTTTCTTTATTGAAGAAATATTGATATAAATGTTAAGTCTTGATAAATAAGTTTCCGTCAAGCATGCACATCTTTATCACAGCGTCCACTTTGGCCAACGATTTGCAGTCGATTGTTGCAAAAAGGTTTATAGTTTTTTCTGCTTAAAAAGACAGAGATAAAACTTTCATTAGTTTAGAAAGGTTTATTACAGAACTTGTAGAGCTGTTGGCATGTCTTACCAACAAATTTACAATATTGTAAACGAATCAGACAAGACAGGGACCGTCTCAAATGCAAAACTGGGACGTGAAACCATCCTTGACAACTTTGACAAGGGAGTGCTTAGACGGGCGGTCTACAAACTTTATGAGAAGAAAAATATATATATTCTAAAGAAGCTACATCAGTGACTTTGGCCAATGTTCACAACTAGATTAAACTGACCGAATTACATCCATATTTTTTCAATGAAATATACTGTTGACATGCAAAACATTTATTAAATCAGTCGATAAGATAACACAAGTGATAGGATTCTTTCCAAAGTACAGTTATTCGTATGTTTATTTCAAAACAAACACACATACACAAATGATCCCTTACATAACTGATACGTATACTATACGTACACATATTCAACAATGCTTCAACTGTTAAATAAAGCACTTGTACATGAAGTAAGGGCAAGGGCTGTGCTGCATTTAGACTAATACTGGAATGAATCATCTGGAAAACTAAATCGCAAATTCGTGCGGTAGACTATTTTTTGGTTGTGTCGAACTTCGGATAACTCGCGGTCAACCCAATATAGCTTCAGTGTAGTTTCTTTTCCTTCTTACATTTTATGAACTTACGTCTTAGAAGTCCTCATCTCTATCAAAGGTTAGCTGTGATATTTGTTGTTGTATATTTGTACCTTTCTAAACTCTCAGCTGAACGAGACTGACAAATAAACATCAATTCAAACATTTTCTAATCTATCTCATGATTGTATCGTTTGACTCAGTCGAATTTGGAAAACTCCAACTATTAGCTGGCATCTTTTGCTATGTTATTGCTCTATAAAGTGTACTGTAGGTGCAAAATCCCACATGAGATTTGTCTTCATTTCAAGTTGACGGCCCTGTAAATTGTTTATCTTTATAGTAGTAGCTTTTTGTCCATAGACACGACACATTGCGATATATAACTACGTGTGGTATAAATAGATTATCCACCAACTGTATGATACTGGGGCACTATAGTACTGTCGGAAATGCTAGAAAAATGCTTTTTAGCCTTAATATCGTTATAAAGGTGATAAATGTACTATGTTGTCAATATATCAACTCGCCTATTGTCTATCTAATGTTTATTTCAATCGATTTAACATTCCCATGCATTTAAAGGGCAGTTTACAGGAGAGAATTTGGTACCAAAACAGCAACTTAAGATTTTTTCAGAGTTCAACAACAGAAATCTGAAATAGTCTTTACATTTATGCTAATGATACAGGTGGTGTAAAAATATGAATTAGCGTTTTTCCTAAACAAATAAATGTTGAATGTTTATGTTACTTTACTAAAGTATAGTTTTCTTTATTGAAGAAATATTGATATAAATGTTAAGTCTTGATAAATAAGTTTCCCGTCAAGCATGCACATCTTTATCACAGCGTCCACTTTGGCCAACGATTTGCAGTCGATTGTTGCAAAGGTTTATAGTTTTTTCTGCTTAAAAAAGACAGAGATAAAACTTTCATTAGTTTAGAAAGGGTTTATTACAGAACTTGTAGAGCTGTTGGCATGTCTTACCAACAAATTTACAATATTGTAAACGAATCAGACAAGACAGGGACCGTCTCAAATGCAAAACTGGGACGTGAAACCATCCTTGACAACTTTGACAAGGGAGTGCTTAGACGGGCGGTCTACAAACTTTATGAGAAGAAAAATATATATATTCTAAAGAAGCTACATCAGTGACTTTGGCCAATGTTCACAACTAGAT